ATCATAATAAAGTTTTATTATTTTTGGGATTTATAAAAATTTTTTTCTTTAAAGGGGGATTGGCATATAGTAATATTTTTCATAAGTTTATTGACGGAAAATTCTGAATATAATCATAATATTTTTTACAGAAATACAGCTTTGTCGGGAAAGTGTCAACTTTTTTGACTTAAAAAAACCCACTGCTGTTTTTCCCGGGGAAAAATTTGAAGAAAAGCTTTAAAACTTTAAATTTTCCTGTTTACAACTTTTAAAAAAATTTAGCTTTTTTGACGTAAATGAACAACACGTTAGGGAAAATTATATACAAACTGGGTTTAATTTTATGTGATGACGTCATACATGTGACAATTCTGTACTTTGCTCTTTAAAATTATTAAAATTTTGGCACAATGTTCAAGCATGAATAATTTATTCCCGATTTAAAGCGCTGTATACTTTCTATGACGGAAACATTTAGAAAAAGAATACGAATCATTTTCGTTTTACAAACAGAGGTAAAACAAAGAAACTAAAGTAGAGTCTACAAAATTGTATTGACCGTTATCATGCCTTTCGTTTTTCTCTCATATTCGTGAAACAGAAAGGAAGATTAAAATATTCAAAGATCTTACAATCCTAAATAGTTAAGGGATATCATGACAAGATTAATTACAAGATACAGTAGGTTGTTGCATATTTCAATAACTATGGTGTGTTTTAATTTTTTTTATTTTTTTTTGGAGTGACCCATCCCATGAAAAAAGCTCACTAAGAATAGTTTTTAAGCCACGATATCAAAACGCACAACTCAACAAATGTTAGACAATCAGATAGATATATAACGTTTAGTAGTAAATCAATAGGCTATTAATTAATGTTATCATGCGGCTAATCATTGTAAAAGATCATATAAAACTCACAGACTGTACATACCTACATGTGTTACCTATCATTTACCAGGCTACTCTATCAGACCACGTGTTTCCAATTAATGATGAAGTGATATGCCTGCACATTGCAAGGTGCATTGTTCAAGCTTGGATGCATAAAAATGAGAAAAAAAACGTTGAATCTCATATTGGCATTTCAAACTTTTTTTTAGCTTTTGTCTTATACGGCATGCCATGATCTTTGCAAAAGCCGAAAGAAAATCGTTTGACTTTGTTACAATCATGCTTACTATCTATCACTATATAGTTTCAACATACAAAAATCAACCACATCAATTGTTTCTCAAATACAAATAGTATTCAGTTAGGTGCATAGCCTGAAAAGAACATCCTTTTTGAAGGCATGTTAAACGAACTTGTTTCAATTGATTTTATTTCATGCTTGTATATCTGATTGAACAACAAATAAAAGCTTGTTATACCATGAATGTATTCCCCCATCCTTTCCTCTTTTACTGGTTTTTGGACTGCCCGGGACCTTTTTAGTTCGAGGAAAAAAAATGCGACTATGTTAACAATATTGTGATATATGGTTAATCAAAATATTTTGTTAAGAAAGTACACGAGGGTTTTAAGAATAAAATGAGCCGCGTCACAACAAAACCAACATAGTGCGTTTGCGACCAGCATGGATCCAGACCAGCATGCGCATCCGCGCAGTCTGATCAGGATCCATGCTGTTCGCTATCAGTTTCTCTTCTTGTAAACGAACAGCATGGATCCCCTGATCAGACTGTGCGGATGCGCAGGCTGGTCTGGATGCATGCTGGTCGCAAATGCACTATTTTGGTTTTGTCGTGACGCGGCTCAAATGCAAACATATTGATTCTCTAAGTGGTTTTTCAAATGATGGCAACATATTGATTAATTTCGTTATTGCCATTTACACTACTATACTATATGTATCTTATAAACAACATATTCGGTAATAGCAAGAACATCTTGATATACCCGCAACAACATAACATTGGAAGGTTTTAATAACAGATGCAATTTCATAATCATGTATTGCAAACATTTATATAAACATGCAACAGTATAAATTAGAAATGAGTAATAAATTACTAATAATTATAAAACCCATTTCTTTAACATAACTAATAAAATGTCCGTGCAAAATGTGACAAAAGTCAGGGTAGGGGGCAAGAGCAGGACCAGGGGCATGATATGTTAAATTATGTTTTAAAATGTATCATATTTGAAATAGTTGAGGATGCTTATATCACTAGTTAAACTGATAAACTACTAGTAATGTAATGGACAAGAATGAGGTGATTTGTTTTATTATCTTTTTTTCTGCTGTTTTTTACACATGAAAGACGCAGATAATAGCAATTTTAGACACCCCTAGAAAAAAGGTATATTAAATTTTCAGACTGTAATGAGAAGCAATGGTAAAACTACGTTAGTTAAGTAAGATTCATTTATAGAATACATCATGCTGAAAGTTCATTATTCACTTCTTTAAAGATTCTATGCTCATTTTGAGTAAAATATTTTCATTGCAGAAATGTATTGAAATCTAAAGAATTATTCCTGAATAATATTATGTTTTATTTAAATGAATGGACGTACAAATTGAGTATAGGAGTCCACGTCCTGTAAAGCTGGTCCTTGAACAAAAAGACCAGTTTTTTTTAATTACACTATATCTACTTTGTGTGAAATAAGAATTCGTTTATTTTATTTTTACAAAAAGACTGTGTAGTAATAATCAATATTTTCAAATATTAAATTGGAGCATAGTATATCTTTGAGTATAAGGTCAGCTTTGTACAGTATTTATATTTATGATATTGTATGTACGCCCCTCGGAGACTCGGTTTTGTTAATAGATAATAATAAATAAAATAAATAATAAATAGGACGCATGGGTACCTTTATCATCAATATTTATAAATACATGTCTTGTTAAATATGCTGGTATCATCTTATCTATGTGTCGGAATGATATCATTCACGCGTACGATGTTTAATTTTCAGCTTTGATAACTAATCAAAAAATGGACATCATGAAAAAACAACATTATCGTTTTGATGATGTTTCATTTAAACTCAAAATAAATATCTTAAAAAAAAAACAATGACTCATCTCTTTTGTATGGAAACACTTAAAATCTCATTTAAATTTACAGGAATATCTAGGTATGCATAACCTGCACACGTTGAAGGTTATGTAATCTGGTTACCCTGGAAATGTAGTACCTCTTATCTCACCGTGCATCCGTCTTTATCTGATTTGATGCAGCTTTAGTTTGAAAAGTTATCTAAGTGTGATTTAAAATTTAATGCAAATGCTGTCTGTTTTACCCTGGAAACATCCTTTCAAAGTCTAGAAAATGTGGCATTTAGCTTATATCACAGTTTTGGCAGAATAGCAAAACTTGTTCCTGTGTATCATAAATCAGAAAAAAAAGAAATGCTACAAAACCCACAACGCAATAAATAGAAACAGTACTGCATTTTGCAAACCATTTGCCCAAGGTCAGTAATATTGTAACAAAAAAGAAGAAAAATGTTCTAGCGTATTGTAATGGTAAATCATGGGTGTAAGATAATTACTTGTATAATTATAAATTTATAATGTCATATGCAACGTGAAACTCCATTTTAATATATAAGTGCCAAAATAGTATTTTCCAAAGATATATATTAAATCAAACTCAAATGCAGATGTGTTAAACATGCATTTCTTATTTTAACAAGCAATTATCATAGTATTGCAAGCAATCCATAAGTCCCCTACCGGTAAGAACCCCATCAACATTCTGAAGGGCCATTGGCCATTCACTTATGTTTCAATTTTTCTCTATTTTAAGTAAACTTGTTGGAAAAGTTCTTTAAAAGTGATCACAGGAAACAGTTTTTATGAACAGACAGACAGACGGACTGAAGGACACTCTAAAGTTAATATTTGAAACATCCCTGTTACCAAAATATAACATTTTAAAAGCAGGAGGAGATAACTCTTGAATTAAAGATGCAATTTCATAAAAATTTTCAGCTCGTTTTGACTAATCACAAATATTGTTATATTTGCCATGTTTTAAGCCTATTTGTTGCCTAGGCAACTGATATTTTTTCAAAATAGGAAGAACAGATAAGACATGCATAATCTCAACACTGCTATCTACCCATATGTCAAGTTTCATAAAAATATTTCCAGTACTTTTTGAGATATCACTGGATTCAGTTTATGTGTAAAATTTGCCATATTTTCAGGCTATGATCACAAATATTGTTATATTTGCCATGTTTTAAGCCTATTTGTTGCCAAGGCAACTGATATTTTTTCAAAATAGGAAGAACAGATAAGACATGCATAATCTCAAGACTGCTATCTACCCATATGTCAAGTTTCATAAAAATATTTCCAGTACTTTTTGAGTTATCACTGGATTCAGTTTATGTGTAAAATTTGCCATATTTTCAGGCTATGTGTTGCCATAGCAACCAGAATTTTCAACATAGGAAGAAAAGAAAAAGACGTGCATAATCTCAACACTGCCATCTACCCATATGTCAAGTTTCATAAAAATATTTCCAGGACTTTTTGCTTTATCACTGGATCCAGTTTATGTGTAAAATTTGCCATATTTTCAGCCTATTTGTTGCCATAGCAACCAGAATTTTTCAACATAGGAAGAAAAGAAAAAGACGTGCATAATTCCAAGACTGCCATCTACCCATATGTCAAGTTTCATAAAAAAATTTCCAGTACTTTTTGCGTTATCACTGGATCCAGTTAATGTGTAAAATTTGCCCATATTTTTAGCCTATTTGTTGCCATAGCAACCAGAATTTTCAACATAGGAAGAAAAGAAAAAGACGTGCATAATCTCCATACTGCCATCTATCCATATACCAAGTTTCATAAAAATATTTTCAGTACTTTTCAAGTTATCGCGGGATCCAGTTTTGTGGACGGACGGACTGACGGACTGACAGACAGACGGACGGACAGACGGACAGACGGACGGACAGACGGACAGACGGACGGAGGGTAAACCTAAAGTCCCCTCCGGTAAACCGGTAGGGGACTAAAAAAGCTTTTCGGTATATTTTCAGAATTACGACATGGGTACCAGCCGTGGATACGGACTGGGGAGCAGCAAATATGGCGGCAGCAGCGGTTACGGTGGAAGTGGCGGCAGTAGCTATTTAAACACCTCATACGGAACGCCTCGGTCAACATACAGACAATCAAGTTACGAACCGAGACTTTCCTCTTATGTTGGGGGTGGATCAGTAATGGAAAGAGTGAAACAGTTAAACCCTGACACTCGAAGTGGGGGTAGTTATACCCCATTAAACAGTCGCCGAGCCTCTGGTGCCAGAGATTATAGTGCGGGTGGGGGCGGAAGCACAAATTCTTGGGATAAATATTCAGGTCGAAGTGTTGGTAGTGATTATAGTAATCGTTCAGGGTATATGTCAGACTATGGTGGAAGTAATCCATCTCTTTATGGTTCTTGGGACCGAACTTCATCACGTTCAGGGAGAGGGTACGGTGCTGCAAGCCGTGAGACGTCGCCCGTTAGTTCTCGAACTCCCGCACGGCAATATGAATATAGTAGCAGTGCATCACCTTCGCCGTATTCAACATACATACGTGGTGCTGAAACTAGATCTCCAGCAACACCACATAGATTTGAAAGACAAAATTCCACAAGATCTGAGGCGTATGAAGAATCTCCACCAAGACCGCGACGAAAGTGGGAGGAGGATGTGTACGGTGTAAAGGCGCGACGGGAAGCTCTCCCAGAACCCGTTAAACCTCCTCCAAAAGACTATTCGTCAGATTCTGATAGTGCCCCCGAGGATGAGAAGGGGCATGGTAGATATTTAATGAGTAGGGGCACATCCCCTATGCCAGAGCCCGGTAAACGAGATAGACGTTCTAAAGACGCGTCGCAAATTAGTAAAATTAAAAGGGTAAAGTGTCCAAAAGAGCCTCGCGGAAGAGCGAGAAGTGATTTGAGGCGGAAACGGTTAGTAGATTGTGCTACGCAAACGAATCTTGATGAAGCCGCTCCAAAACGTAGAAGCCGCCAAGGCGGAACGGAAAATCGCGCCTCAAGAGAAGAAATAGCCAAAATGGCAGCTTTAGCTTTATTAAAGGACGATAATGATAATACTGGTGAAAGTTTTTACAAACGCAGAGAACAGTTTCAGATGCCAACTGATCCTTTATCACCTACGTATAAAAATAAATCTGCTGGTTCGAGCTTTGAATATGACAAATCTCCAACACGCCCTAACCAGCAGGACGAAAGGAATTGGCGTAAATCTGTGTATGACGATAGTCCACCTACAAAACGAAGCGAACCAAATAGAGATTCTCGTTATTTGGAAAGCTTAGATGTACCGGACGAGAAAAACTGGCGAAAGGCAGTGTATGGTGACCCAACTCCCGCTCCTGGAGCTTTAAGTAGGCTAAAGCATTACCAAACGGAAGAAGATCTCAGAATGGCGGGAGAAAGTGCAAGAGCGCGGAGAATGCCACTTACAAGTACACCTGCACATTTGAATATACCAGATGATGAGAGTATGGACTCTCCGCCAGACCATGCTGTCCGTTCTCCGTCAAGGCGGGATAGAAAATCTTACAATGATTCAGAGGCAGAAAAAAGACGGTCACAGCAGTCAGAAAATGAAAAGAGACGATCACAGCAGTCAGAAAATGAGAAGAGGCGTTCGCAACCGTCGGAAAATGAAGGCTCTAAGTATCGGCGGTCTTCTTCTAGAGACAGTATTCTAGATGATAAACCAAGTCGCCGTCGTCGTCAACGAACATCAAGTCGTGAACTTTTGGACGAGTCAGAGCCTTCACAAAAAAGTGGCAGGACCACTCTTACACCAGATTCATTGTCGGTTAGAGACAGTATTGAAAAGGTTCATAGTTGGAAGCAAACACTTCCTCCGTCAATACAGGACCAACAACATTTAGGCGTTGATCAAGCAAATCGACATCCTGAAACAGGTTTTCCGCGAAGTGACTCAGGGGAATATTTCTCTGCACATGAACAAAATCCGACCGGAAAACAATATAAAGACAAAATGTATGCCCAACAAACAGCTTCTTCTCCGAACTACGAAGAACAACAGTCTGGAGGTGAAGAAGAGGTGTTGTCTCCTGGTGGGCATAGAAGGCGAAAAGCAAGACGCCATTTGTCAAGAGACTTGTCACAAGAGAGCAGTGTATTTGACGAAGATCGTACACACCATCCTGTGAATAAGGAAAAGATGAGAAAGTCTGAATTAAACAGGTCAGAAGAACTTGAACGGCAAGAGCAAGAAGAATTGGAGCGGCGGCATCGTATTTATGCTGGTGAAGACCCAGCAGTTGTTGAAGAGTCCCTTCGTCAGAAACGAAATGAACCATACCAGCGTGATGAGTCACCAAGCAGACGGCGTAAGCGTTACGGCTCGCGCCATAATTCACGTGACGACATTCTTGAAGATAATCGAACGCGTAAAGACAAGAGAGATACAGACGCACATATAAGTGACAGCTCACAATTTGGTTTCAATAGGGAAGGCTCGCCAAATAGGCAAGGACATAGAAGTAAAAAACACAGTCGTCATAATTCACAAGAAGGTATTTTGGACAGAGATGATGCACGTGCGCAGGAACACGCACAATATATGCGACCTCACAGTATGGTAGTTTCGAATGAGAGTTTAGCCAACCTTAGCGCCGCAAGTTCTATTCCGTCCATGCACTCGGCTCTTACTAATGACGGTACTATACAAAATGCAGCTTCTTTGCAATCTATAACTTCAAACGAAGTACAGGAAGTTCCAACAGATGATCAAATGACATCATCTGGTGGTTCACTTCCGGATATTGTTCCCGGTGATAACAGGTCGCGTGAACAATTTTCGAAAAAGAACCAGAAATCAGGAAAATACAAAAGCGGCTTGATTGGACGAACGGAAGACATAGACAACCTTCTTAATTTCAGTCCAAATGAAGAGGAATTCGTTGAAAAGGGGCGAGGACTTCAAGAAGTAATAAAGCAACAAAACGCGCACATTCTTGACGCCCCTGTACCAAGAGAGCCTTCTCCTTTGAAGCCACAAGGTTCAGGTAAGAACATCTGCTTTTAAATGCTGTAAACCACAGCGACATATTCAATCAAATAAAGACTGATAATTTGTGGTTGGAGAAAAATAAAAGATAAGAGTCACGCAAAGATTAAAGAGGAATAATGTATTAACAATTGAATTTTATTAGTCTTAAAGGCGTAATATTTTTCCTCCTTTTTCACTTAATGTTGCATCTGTTGTAAGTTTTAGCTTCGCATAATGCATAAGTTTGTAGTTGTATTGCACATTATTTATAACATATTGTTGAAGTTTATTCCATTTTCTTTTATCTAGAAAGAATGTATAATTCCAGTCATTTAAATCAAAATATGCTGGGGCATACAACAACTTCAATCAAAATGTGTATACATAATACATTTTGGTGTCGCTAAAACTATCAGTTTTAGCAACATATGACTTTAAAAATACTGTATTCTTATTTTGTATTATAGAGGAAAAATTAATAGACATCGAAGATGAGGAGGGAGTGTGGCCATTTCTTTCGCAGGCCGATGACAACGATACTCAAACATCTCCGAAACCCAGACCAGCCAAAACTGAGGAAATCACTCAGACCGGCAAGGAGATGTGGGATTTATTGAAGGCCAGGAAAGGTCTTGTTGTTATAAGTAAGTTTCTTAGAACTAGTTAATGCCAGAAAATTTCTGATTATATCAATTTTGTTGTGAATATGAACGCACACTAAATAGTAGCGTATTGGTTATTCCCCTTGATAGTATTTTCCATATGGTCCCATTGACATGTGATATGAACGTATATAAATGAATTTAAAAAAAAATAGTAAATACAATTTTTTTTCTTTATGCTGTTATGCATTACTGAAACAAGCATTTTGATATTAACCATTTATATATTCGTTTTATAAACAGGCGACATTCTAGAACTATGTGCCAAACCAAAAAGACCTCGATTTATTCGCGTTCCCGGGAGCGAGGAAGAAGAGAAGAGTTTCCGTGGTTACCAGACTGCAAACGAGATGTTAGAAAACTTACAGGTCGACACTAAACAGGTTCGTAGTTGTTTATACATTATGCACGAGATGAACGCGGGTAGTTTAGATGATGCCTGCTCATTACGGGGCATAATGGTGCAAGAAAACGTGAATAAATAATACATAGTCATTAATTAATGTGTCTAATAAAATAAAGATCTTTTTATCGTTATGAGCATAGGCACTTGGTTCAATTAAATTTGACTTATACTTTTACTTATATGTATACCATGGCTTTAATTACAGCCTTGTTAATATCTTCCATTGACATAAACCTTTTCCAGCAGTAGGTAGGTCAGTAGCCCCGACATATATTTTACTATTGTTAGGGCTTTACATGGACATGAAGTCGTCATAATGTTATTCAATAAGTTATATTATCGGACATTTAACGATAATGTGAGGTTGCTTGCACTCAAGAATATAGCCCCGAGCTTAATCTGCTATTCAATGTTGTTTGTCAAAAACAGTTTGTTGAATTTGCAGCTTGTTTATGTCAGATCATGTAGGTATTTTCCTGATCAGAGAGATGTTGCCTACCACACAGGCACGAGTATCGGACCTGGGAAGAAAAAATATGACCAGATTGATAAAAAACCTGTGTTCATCTTAAAAGTGTCAAACCCCCCCCCCCCCCAAAATTGTAAATATATGACCCCCTTTAAAAATATACTATAAGTTAACTTATAAAGTATAAAAAAAAATATTATTTTTAAAGGGGGTCATTATTTACATTTTTTTTGTGGTTTTTTGACACTTTTAAGATGAACACAGGTTTTTTTATCAATCTGGTCATATTTTTTCTTCCCAGGTCCGATACTCGTGCCTGTGGCCTACCATAGTAAAGACACGTACATTGTGCGTCTTCTTCCTCTAGTATTCTTCTCTAGGTATCAAACAAAATGTATAATTATGACCTGGGTAACTAATATGAAAAATTGCAAGGTTTTGGTGAACAGGACTTAGAATAAGTTAACGGGAATTAAAATAAAAGACATATAGATAGCATGTTGTTATTCTACATCTCTGACGTAGGTAAGGGAGGAAACTCGTACGTTCTTAAATGTGATAACTCTACTGGCAAGGAAGATAATATAAATAGTACAGTGACATAGATCTACATCATAAGTACTTGAATGAACGGGAAGAAAATATTGAATAAACATTACATGTCGATTTTGCTTCCTTAAATAAATTAAAGAAAACGAATAGTAAAATAAGATTAAAAGGGAATTTTAAGAAAAAATAAATGAACTGATCTTTGAATTGCGATTTTCACTAAAATAAAATTGATTTATCCAGATCTTAATGTGTCTCTATGTATGTTTATAGCTTCCTTCAAAATCGAACAAAGATATATTCTGTAAAAACTGTTCAAGCTCAGTGAATCAATATAATCAGAGACTTTTATTATAAATAGCTAGATATAAATCAACGAGAACAAATCATCCGTGCATACATGTCTACCACATACACGTACAAGTACCTGTTAATTAGTATTTCTTTTTAAAAAATATAATTTAGAACCAATACAACTGCTTTCAGTCGTGAACAATAATTTTTAAAATGTCACTTGGTATATTTTGAAGTAATCCGCCTACAATTTTTCGCGGTGATGACATCAAAGGGTGATTACCTCAACTTACCTGTCTGGCCTACTTGCGCATATATTTCGATACACAAGCGCGCAAGAAATGATTCAGTGTGTAAAGTGGTCTGTACACTGTAGATAAAGCGAACGGTTCGTTTTAGATCTTAAGGGTGTATAAAAATAAATTTTAGAGATAAGGTCGGCTCGCAGACTTCTTAAGAATAAATTATCTGGAAAGTTTTAGACTATAATTTTTTACCGGGAAATGTAAACGCGCGGATGGATTTTGAGGTCGAAGGTCAACTTTTTAAGTCTGTCAGATTAGTAAATATCAAACATGGCGACCTTCGCATGTAGGATTCAGTATTTAGACGATACTGATCCTTTTTCGAGTACAAATTTTCCTGAACCAACGCGGCCGCCGACTTACACATTCCATATAAACGTTCCTCTTGTTAACCAAATTGGTGGTGTTCATAGACTTTTAGGGGCACCGCATAAAGTAAGTTAAATTTTAAAAACGAAAACTGTCGCCAGTGTAAACAAACGGGTGGGTGGGGTATTGCATTATTATGGATTAGGATTTAAGTGAAGGTGTGCTTTATTCGAATAATTGGAATTAACTTGTGGTGTGGAAATTTTGATTGGATACATATAGATGTATGTAATGGATATATCTTATGAAAATAAGATGACAACGTTGGAAAGAAATTGCTGAGAAAAAAATCCAGTGTCTGGGATACTCTATATCAATTGATGTTTATTTTTGAAGAAAAGTCACTGCAAAATTCGAAAATCACTTACTATTTGGATTTCAGTTTACCCATTTACTTGGTCTTATTGAAATTATTAGCTACAACTGAGTGTCAAGCAATTTTTATTTAAAATAGATAAGATATAGGAATGTTTTTTTTATGTGAAGTACTCTTTGAATGTTTTTTTGTAAAACAGTCATTTATTACCCACTAAAATTGATGATTTAAGTTAGAATTAAGGTAACTTACAATTTACATGTTCATAATAATGGTGTAACTGTAAAATTTTCTTAGCACAGTATCATTTAATATTGCGCTTCTATTAAATATGTATACATGAATGCCACAGTAAAGGCTTTGGCATTATTTGGAGATAGACAAATCAAATCAAAATTTATTTATTGTCGGTATACAAGACAAATCAAATCAAAATTCATTTATTGTCGGTATACATATATAACATTTACAAAACATAAGCTATGTATAGCTTTTGACCGAATAGGACAACATAATATTTTTTTTTGAAAATTGATTTCAAGGGAATCTGGACGAACAACTGCTTCTATAATATTGTACTACTTTTATGGTTCAAATTTATGCAACAAAGTCAATTTTGAGAGGTTTGTATATAAAACACATTAACAATTACCATACTGAAGGTTTGAATGTTTGGAAACAATCCAATATTAAGCATTGGTATAAACAGTTGAAGCGACATGTACTATATTCCAAGGCTAGTTAACTGCTGATAACTGAATTGTCTGAGGTGCCAAATAGTTCACTTCTGGCCATATGTTTTCCTTCATAAGAAAGATGTGGTTCCAAACTGTTTTTCTATGTTAAATTTAGAATATAACTTAAAACATATTGGTATAATCATAACATTATATGGTTTTACATCCTGTTTGATTTAATTCTTAAATTTTAATTGTAGTTTATTGTTTGATAAGTTTGAATATTGCATACTTATCTAGATTATCTTCCCTTTAATGCAAATTTTATGTAATGCAGCAATTGCTCTTAAGATATATGTTTCATGGTGCAGGGATAAAAACTAACCATTTAAGCATGGTGGCCACCTGGGCCACTGACTGTAAAATTTTGGTGGCCCAGTAAATATATCAGTGGACCAACAAATTATGAACAGAAAAAGGGCTAGCACTGGCAAATTTTTTTAGCCAATTTTTTGGCAACGAAAATTGCGCGCATGTATTTTTTTTTCAAATAAGGCAAAATGGTACAGCATGAGGTATTTAGAAGACATAAACTGTAATGTCCACTTTTATTTTGGTACCTACATTTTTTATCACATTAACACATCAAACTTATAAAATTTACAGTCGATAATTATAAAAGCTTCCAGCTCAGTAGCTATGACATTTGCCTGGTTAAGTCAGTGGCATGACAGTAACAGCAGAAACACATTCCAATGTGCTGCTTCAGCTTGCTAATGGTTAATGACAAAGATTTGGCTTGAAGACTATCTGTATCTGAAATAATACAGAAGAAACAAGTTTGAAAGTAAGAAGAGTGAAGAAAATGATATTGAAAATTCTAAACTAAAGAAAATTCAGGAAAAAAATCACATGTACTTCTGTCATTATAAGTGTACAGGAATCAGTATAAGTTATCTGAAGGCATTTTCTGTTTGTATGTTACTTAACTGAATCTTTCTTTAATATTTCACAGTCATAAGCCATTTATAAATGAATACTTATGCAACAGCTTTAGGGGTTACAAAACTTAAATTTGATTTTAAGTCAAATCAAGGTCAATCTTTTTTTCCAAGGAATTCTCTGTAAAGCCAAATCATGTCAAATAAATTTCTTGTAAAGGCATAATTAGGTTAGAATAAAATGGCAATCAGCCCCCATCCCCGGAAGAAAAAAAAATGAAAAAAAAACATGAAAAAACAACCATTACTCTTAACCAATATTTTCTTTTGATCTGTAATCAACAACGATATGATTTACTGAATGCAAACTTACCGTCAACAGGTCAAGTTGTCAACTGCAGAACATAATTTGTCGCTATTTCATACCCAAACTTCTGATTTGATTAGCGATAATCTTGAGTAATCTTGGGATGCCGCTACTTATTGTTTCATATTAAATATTTAGACCCGATTTCCAATGCATATTCAACACATTGTTCACTACAATTAGTGTCATATTTATCAGCTGATGTAAACAAACGGCGAGGGTCAGTGTATTAGACTGTGTTATTTTTCATATCGATATTTAATACAGAAGGGGAGGTAAAAATATAAACCAGTCAATGACCCACAAGAAGTAGACTGTGTCGCTGTGTTTTGAGATAAGAAGCGGTAAAACGGAAATTGAAAATGGAAAACCAAATGTGTACTTTTCCATTCTTAAAATAGCAAATGCTAAATTTAGACAGGAGATTCCAAAAGTAATACTTTTTGGAAGATTGAGCCAATCGTGATTTTCTTGAGCAAATTTAATAATTTTGGAGCCAATTTGCTCCTTTGAATTTTCACATGAGTTGATTTAATGGCAGATATTAATTTAATCTACGGCCGATTTTTTTAGTCGCCGACTGGACGACTATTTTGAAATTTTTGGTGGCCCAATTACAAATTAAGTCGCCGTGGGCGACTGGGCGACCGCTAATTTTCAGCCCTGTGGTGTGCTAGAGGAATCATACAGTTACTAAAATCTAATGTTATTCCATTCATAACCAATATGAATGTTTAACTTATGATGCCAGCTATAATTCTAATTAATGTTTAAAGAAATTAGTATAAAGAAATATTTAAATGGGAGTTGTAAATCTTAAAGCTTACAGTGCTAAATGGTATAAATTGTTTAAAGATATTTTAAGCACTTCTGTGTACAATTATTTTATCTTATTTTGTACCCAGCTGAAACTATGAAGATTGAACTTGCCCTGCATTGAATAATTGAATTCATGACTGTTTAATCAGTTCTTTAAAAAGGATTTCAATGTCAAAATGCTTAAGTTAAATTTATTTAATAGGAAGAGTATGGAGTTCATCATGCAGACATGCTGCATAACAATGCGGGCATGCCTCATTCTGTACTGGTGGCTAAGTGATGTGTTATAAAGAGGGTAAAAGATTGAATTTAGAGTTTCTTTTAAACATTTCAAATACTGGATATCACCCAAACCTGTAGTGAAGTTGATTTTCATGCATGAAACTTGAAAGAGGAGTTGTTAATTCATTTATAGTTCTACTGAAAGGAAGTTCAAAAAGAGATTTTGTTTACAGTAATAAAATTGACATAAAATGAACATTCCAGTAACCATCAATGTAGTCAACAAGGGAAAATAACACCCTGCATACATTGTGGTAATTTATTTTAATTGCTTTCAAATAGTTTTCACTCTTAGTGTTAAATTAAAGCAATGAAATCCTATAATTGGTCCCATTGTTAGCTTACCATTGTTAGATATAAACCTATCCTCTATCCTATAAACCTGGCACAGGTTTAGTTTTCTTTTAAAACTTGTAAATTTGAAAACTTCAAGAAGAAAAGAAATTTTGTGCTACAGAAATCACTATCTTAAATTGTGGTTTATTATTTTGTTCTAATCTTGCAGCGTACCCATTAATACTCACCTATATTATATAGGATAAGGAGAGCTGATTCCATCCATATCACATAAATTTACTATGAGAATTATGATAAATGATTTGTATCTTATATTTATTTAAAGCCAAATGGATTCTTGGCTAGGTAGCAGTTATCCTATCGTGTCTCAAAAATACTTTTTTCCCAATCTTGGTTTAAAAATGGTCATTGTAATATTTATATAGTAGATACAGAATGAATGGTGTCTTGTAAGTTGTATATACAACTTTAGGTTTTTAGTCTTAGTTTAGTTTAAACAAAATTTAAGTTTTTTAGTTTGATTGTGTAGGAAGCTATAAGTATATAGATACACTGTTAAATCCTTTCCTGGAACCAACCAGTAGGAAGCAATGAGTGTAATGTTTCAGGCAGTGTGTAGATCTGTATTTAAAGTTCATTGACTTTGATGACATTGTTGCTGAAGTCTCACTATACATGTACAGTAACTATTACATGTTGAAAATTAGATTTCTTAGAAATTCTCCAATTAATGATTATCCCCCCCTCCCCTGTAATAAATGTTTGTTCCACTGGTAAGTTGGAAGGTACAGTCATTTGGATGCTGAAGTATAAAAAGTGTTGCTTTAGTAATAAACTGACATGAGGTATGACAATAGAGAATCTTCTAGTACCTGCAAGTGGTTGCAAGTCATCTTACTATTACTCACCACAAGGAATGGTATTTTAAATGAACGCAGTAAACATCAGTGGAGAATATTCTTGACAAAAACAGTGGAATTTGCCACATTGAATGATTCATGTTTAGCCAAGTATTTGTCAGTGGGATGAAAGAAAAAACAAACAATTGAATTAATTGTTTCAAAATGTGAATACTTCCTTCAGGGTAGAACTGATGTGTAGAATCCTATTTTATTATAGAGTATTTTTATTTGATTATAAGTCTGTAATATGGTACAGGTATGTTTTGTAAATATAGCACAATTTTTCAGTGTACTGATCATGATCCAGTTAGGAATGTTGTTGTTTTTCTTAATATTTATACTTGATATTACTATTTATATGATATAGAACAGTGATCATTTGACTATTTTAAGATTATTTAAAATTAGAAAATAGCGTCAATTTATATCTTGTCAAGCAACTGAATAGATAAAGTAATAAAGTACTATAAGTATATTATGCATGTACATGTTATACTTGCCTTGTTTTACAGCTAGAAGATTGTGCTCTACAGATCTACAGGTATCATAATGGAACACAAGGGGACTATGGGACATATCTCGACCCCGAATCAACCATTGATGAACAAGCAGAGGAACTGGAAGGCTTTCAGGACCAGTAAGTAACAATAAGAATACTTAAAGATTTACTAAAACTAGTCATTCAACAGGTTTTCTCCATATCCCCTCTTGATTTAGTTTTTAAGATTTAAATTGTTTTATTTATTCATGTTAAAACGAAAACAATAAGACAATTATAATGATATTAGCAGTAAAGAGTCATTAATAATAACGATAATAATAATGATAATAATAAAAATAATGATAATTAAAATGTTAATCAATGTTATTATTAGAGTTAAAACATATTGAATTAAAATCAGTCAAGTCTCAGATCTAAGCCAAATCTTTAAATATAAAATGAGGTCAATTAGGTTACAAAATACTCAGTTATCAATCTATAAAATTTCTCAAAAATCTTTGATAGGGTGTTCCGACATTCAGACTGATATTTCTCAGTTATTATAAACAAGAATAAACAGGTCATCAGCGCAACTGCTTAATAAAATCAGGGTGTACAAGTTCAATAGATGTAATTGAAGTAAGGTATGATGGGTAATCATATAGTCGGATGATGTTATAATTCGTATAATGAGGCTGTACACCTGTTTTATCTTGTATTTTTATTGGCAATAATACTGCGACAGCTTTACTATACCATCACTTTGAAACAAACAGCTGTTTGGTTTTTTACCCAGTACCAACTATTTCTTACCTTTAAATTGTGTAATAATAATTACAGTAAAAATTAGTATTAATATTTTATCAATTAGTTTTGTAAATTGAGTTCAATAGACATTGTATTAATAGAAATGTACCATAAGTTTCATACATTGAATTAACTTTATAAATAGCGTGAAATATTTGCAACTTAGATATTTGTAAAGATTGTAATGAGCTTTGCAGTATCATATAATTTGTCTCAAAGGTTTACATATATTAAGCTCTCACCACTAATTAATGACACAGTATAGTGATCTATGCATTATAAGTGCAGGATTGCATGTAGTCATGGAAAATTTCCTTGTTGAGTGAAGATGCGGCATCAGCTGTTATCATAGAGGGAGAAGTTAATTATAGAGAGAGACATATGTTGAATGAGTTCCAGACAATGGTTTGCCCACTGCCAACATGTTTATACATAATGCTGAGATTTGTTTGTATATAACATGTATGTTGTTTAAGGCTACTGTTGAATATGTGATGTATTTAGTGTGCTGAGTGAATTCTTCTCCCATGTGGTACAGATTGATGTAGACAGTTATGTGGTCAATGCACTGACTCTGGTTATAGAATCCTGTAACATTCCCTAGGATCATGTTGTATTGTCTACAGTGTCTTTTAGGCAGAGTCAATTCAGTGTTTTCCATTGTTTTGACACCCCTATTGACTTCTGTATAATGAGATAAATTTATTCTTTGCTATTAATGTGAGCTTTATTGCAAGACATTACATTGTACAAGTGGTGCTGTTATAGAGGTTTCCTCTTTTGTTAAAGACTATCATATATATCAATACAAGTTCTTGTGTATTTATTTTCTCAAATCGAAACATTTCAACTTCCATCATTACGTCCCTTTTAGTCCAGCCCTTTATATGAACAAACACCACTTGTATTGGGCACTTTTCTAATTTTATCTATAACTCATTATTGAATCAACTAAAAGTTGTTACTCTAATAGAATGTTGGTGATAGGTTAACATTCTTTGCAATAGATAGGATTCAAGAGATATTTAACATTATCATTGCATTAATTAGCCTAACTAAATGATAAAATCTCAATAATCTTTTAAAATGTGAAACAATTCCGAGAAAAAATATGTTTACATAGCAAGAGTGGGTGTTAACCAAAACAACTATGTGAAAAATACTAAAATAGAAACTGATTTTGTGCCAATGAATTTAATTAGATGTTATAAATGTAAGGAAAGATAATTTATTTTGATTGTAATGAATAAATCAGCATGTCAAAAGGAATTTCCTGAATAAAATTATTTCAAGAAGATGGTGTTCCAACTGTTTTTCACCGAGTCTGATAATCAAGATGAATATTATATGTTTTCAATTAATATTTTTTCAATGTATTTAAAGTAGTACTAATACAGATAAGAATTTGTTCCAATGCCTTGAATAGTACTTTGGAATTGCAATAAATTTTTGTAGATTAATGATATAAAAAGATGGAAAAAGAATGATCTCTTAATGAAGCAATTAGAAAAAGAAATAAATAAATAACCTCACAAAATTACAAGAAAAATGCAGGCTGTAGTGTTTTCCTTTGGACGAAAATGCTTCATTTAATCATTTAATCTTGTTTTGCAATATTTTCAATAGTTGCAGTGTAAATATTTTGCAGCATTATAGACGGAACATTCAATTAGATTAATTCATGTATCAAGTACATGTTACAAGTCTTCCTGTTTTAAAAGCGTATTTGAGAACGTCATGGGCCGAGCGTCATAATTAAATATATTTTGAGTATTGTAACTAAATTATATCTGAGCAAATCATTGCGCTATTATATTAAAACGTAGCCATATTTTATATTGTCATCTTTATTTGAGCTAGACAATAGTCCCGAATCATTCAGAGCGGTTAATAGTGATATAGATGTGATAAAATCATCAAGTCTTAAAGAAATCGTTCCTCAGTTTAATCTGTCCGAGTCATCGTGAAATTCCTTTAAAGTTGGCGATATTGTGATTACATTACCATGTCAAGTGTTTGATTACAAAGTTATAGTCAACAAATGAGATAAGTTCGGCACTGGATCTTTACAGTCGTTTATGACACCAATGTCTTAAGAACGTTATATTATATATAAATATATGATAATAGGGGTATTTATTCAAAGTAAATTTGTTTACAGGGGTTTTACTCTCAGTCTATTACTCAATGTTTATTCTTGTGACGTCCATTATATGAGTTGTTAAATAGGTTTGTAAATAATTATTTCGATTGAAGTTCCGAAGTTTAAGAGTGGTCATCCTGTAATATTTGATGTAACATGTACATCAATATTGCGATGTTGTGCCGGTCAAATCATATTAAATGAGTATAAAATTTCATTAAAACTTTTGCTTGCCAAGCATTATTGTCTTTGACAAAAGCAGTGAATTTATTGTAGTTAAAAGAAAGTTTAAAAAAGTTAAGAACAAACCTGAAAATATTTCTGTAAAGAACATGGTTAAAATAATTTAAAGTTAAGTTTATTTTATATTCAGCAAATACTTTTTTCCCAAGCATCAAGTTTTATGAATGACCTTTTTGAAATATTTTTGCAGTATTAAGTTCCAGTGTTAGATGTTATTAAATTGTCTTTGGTTGCTTGTGAGCTTACATTATTTCTATACAAAATACATGTATCAAATTGTAATGTATTGTAAGTTAGTAAATATGAGATGTTGGTTAAATGAAGCCACACAACTAACACTGCAATATGACCTGACTTCAATGTCCGCTAGATAAGCAATAAACTGTCATGTTAAATACCATATGAAATAAATACTGACATCTACTTTATAACTAAGCTGAATTATGGTACACCCACTTTGATAGTTGCCCAAAAAATGTATCACTCCAGATTCTGAGATTTTAGTGTTTTGATATTTGAAAAACCCTTTATATAACATGTGCAAAGGAAAAAATTTCAAAATACTATTTAACATTAACAAGTATTGAACATTAGTCAGTTAAGATGTGATGTGTTTATATTTGTGTATATGGGGACAAAATGACAAGATCTAGAGCGACCTATCTTTATCAAGTTGACAGGATGATCAACACAACGCGAGCACATTTTTTCATCTTGTAATTGTCATTTTTACGATAAAGGTGACTTGTTGCTAATTACTATGCACCTTTCATTGCCAGTCATCATAGGTATTAATGTTATTTTATTACAGCTAGACAAGGTATGCCTCGGGGAGATCGCCTGCACTGTCCTATATGATAATCATCTCTTACTGAATGTCTGTTTTGAAATCAAAGAGATATTCACTATGTTTGTCAATATAATTTAAATCGTCGCTGGTTTAAGGCAAATTCCAAATATGTTAATTAAGTTTACAATTTATGTATGCCAGATAAGAGTACAAATATTATACCAAAAACTACAGCTATTCTCATATAACAAGAAAATTCAATTTTATATGTTAAATTTTTTATGTTAAAAAACACACTAACATTAAGCTTTCAAAAGCGGGATTGACATTTTGATGTAAGGTCGTCTTTAATTGAAAAAAGATTTTTTATGTTTTATTAGTTTATGATAAAAGGTCAATAAGACCTTAACATGAGTTTGCCTTGTTTCTTTACAATAAAAAAATGAGAAGTAAACAGACACGATATATCATATTGTTTTATGTCGATTTTTGTAGTCCATGTTCCAGCGAGAAGCCGAGGTAATAACTCCTAAATATGATTAGTTAAATGTCATAATACATATTGTAATCATTAGATATATTGCTATGTAATATAGGTCATACTTGTCTTAATTAAATGTTTCTGTCTTAAATAGAGGAGGCTGTATGTGTTGTCCATAAATTGTGCTGTCAACTGCATTATGAAACAAAAGTTGTAATAAATTGTCCAGATTAGTAGTTTTGAAGGTTCAACCAGCACTCGGTTTAACTTGTATTTAGCTCATTGAGCTTAAATACAGTGTTGTGTTGAATTCTTCAATTTGTTGTCAGAATCAGTGAGAAATGTGTCATTGTCAGGCATTTGTCATTTGTCATTCATCTAGTTTAGTATAACAGAAAGTGTTATGCAATAGTAAATAAATTAATAACAAGAAAAAAATCCTAACCCATACTGTATCATGTTTGAAAACATTGCATGTTAGATAGATTTTGACCCAGCATGAATGCAGATAGTTTTTTCTTTCTTTCAAGTAGATTCTGTATGAATTTTACATTTTTTTTGCATTAAAGTTTTCTTATGTTGAATTATGCAATGCCTAATAAAAAACCTTACAATTTTGTTTAACTTTTTTTTATTCTATTTCTTATAGAATCAAACATTTACATGTGTTTGATATACATATGTATGAATCAAACATTTATTTTATTATAAATTAGCCAAAGAAATAACTGAAGATAGCTACTGAAGTAGTTGGTCGGCTTTAGCTTATTTGTTTAGGAATGAAAACAAAACGTCATTTAGGAATGTTCCTTAAATTGGGTGCTTGAAAGTTAATACAGAACAGAGCAAGTTATTTCATTGATGAGATCTAATTGATCGCTTATTGGACTCCATGGTGCTTTATGTGTTCTCTGTGTGTTAATGAAGACATTATGTATAGGGCCTCCTGTAGTTCAAGACAGGAATACATGAACTGCTGGTAAAAGATGGCAGGAGCATTATGCTCCACAAGAATTGCCTTCTTACCCAGGCTGAGTACATCAATGTCCTGTAAAACATGAATTATACAAAATATTAATGATTATAAGCTTGGTCTAGTGAATTCCGTATACATATAACTTGCTAATGTGGAGAAAATCTTCTGTGACATTTGTTGCTATCCTGTTTTCATATGTTTGGTTTCATTTACATAATGTTATAAAAATGCTAAAATAATAACAATAATGTATAATAATCAATGATATATCCTTATATCTACTGGTACAGTACAAGTGGATTACTGTATGATATACCGCAACAGATGTTTTGTCTGTTTCTTCCAGTACAATATATAATAGAAAATACATGCATCCATTAATTATGCATGTTTTGGTTAACATTTTTTTTATCTTTTTTGTTTTCCGGTGTACCCTGCATTTTTTAATAAAAAACATGTATTGTTTCTTTTAAAAATATTAATTAATTTTAGTTTATAAAATATTTGGAAAAATTTGAAGAAATTTTTCAAATTTTTTGGGGCCCAGTAATTGAAGAAAGGGCTTTGTTAAAAAGAAGTAGGGAATTGTACATTGGAATGACTTAAACTGTAACCTTTGGTTGAAGACTATAAGTCTGGAATCATCAGATTCTTATCTATATGATCTTAAAGATATAACAGTGTTTTATCTTAAAGTTAAGTTGGTGAATTATTGAGAAAAAATCTTGTATATTACTGGGAACAATACCATGGCCAACTGCAGTTCAATTTGTACAAACTATTGGCTCTATAACAGGCAAAGTTTGGTCTTTACATGTTCACAAGGAAGCTAAAAGTTGAAATACCAATTGAAAGTTTATGGCTGCTTGAGACCAGACCACTAAGTCAATACATTTTACAATTGTCTACAGTTTTACATATTTAATTTGTTGGTTTTCATGTCTTTCTTCTTTGAATAAGAGAAATATAAAACTGTAGATTTTTCTTCCTCATACTTGAAATGTTCATATGAATTTTTTGTTTTTACTATAAATTGTAAGTTGGTCATAGTTCTCTATGGGTATCAGTGAATTAATGATTTAACATGTTACTGAACTGATAATGAGGCTGATATTTATTGTAGCTTGGATGTTTTATATCTCTTAGCTACTTAAATAGAACAACTTAAGTAACATATAAACACAGTTTGATAATATATTATACTATATATATACATTTATCACATAAACCGAGGCGCAGGAGTGTAATAAAGCCATTTAATAAAAACGGTATTACACTAGACGATATTACACTAGTGTAATAACACTTTGACGTCACGTCATTTGCGCTATAAACATAGCGTTAAAGCGCGCTAATGTTAGCGTTACACTAAAGGTGCGTCAAAGAAAAATGACTATTGATAACAGTTTACAGTTCTTATTTTATATATGTGATAAATAGAATATTATATTCGTGTAGATTCAATACTAAATTTATTGAACTCGTTGAATAAAACAATATTATGCTCGCCAGAGGCTCGCATAATATGATTTTATTCAACTCGTTCAATAAATTTAGTATTAAACCTACACTCATTCAATATCCTCTATGTATATCATTGAAAGTTTTATGATTATATACTGTATGCTCATTTTGCATCAGATAAGGCAAAATATACAGGATGTATCTGAAATACAATTCTTTAAAAAAAGATTTTTAATTTTGGACAAAACCATATACCTTCTGTTATGTTTTAAGGTTAAAGTTAAGATACAGTGTCTCTCTCTCTTTTATATACTGTTATGTAATAAATCTTTACATGAAGAAATTTCTAGGGTCTTTAAAACTTACTCATGGAGAGTTTTTGACTTAAGTCCAATATATATGGCATGTTTGTTTAAAGTTGATTCATTGTTAAATAAAATGCATACATTCTTATCTAGTGAAATATCAACCTTGTAAGACTGCTTAAACGATATGCATTTTGAACCTTTGGTGTTATTTAAATAAAAAAACATAGGAGAGAGTTGTTGCCTTTTGGCAATTGTGAACATGATGTTAATCACAGTTAATAAATGAGGACAGATGACTGCCTTATTATTTAACCTCCTGGCTACATTACTGAGTTATAGTTTTCAGTTAATCATGTGATGGGACATACGTTTTTGGTTTCTTTATAATTATTTATTTATCTTCCTTAAGATCTGGGAACAAAACAACGTAAAACTCCCCAAACTTACAAAACACAGTTATACCACAATAATACATTCATTGCTATTTTGTTTTGCTAACAAAATACAAATGAGCCGTGTCACAACAAAACCAACATAATGGGTTTGCGACCAGCCTGCGCATCTGCGCAGTCTGATCAGGATCCATGCTGTTCGCTTACCGACTCTATTACAAGTAGAGAAACTGATAGCGAACAGCATGGATCCTGATCAGACTGCGCGGATGCGCAGGCTGGTCTGGATTCATGCTGGTCGCAAACGCACTATGTTGGTTTTGTCATGACACGGCTCAAATGTAGAACATGATGAAACTTTATAAACTTAAATGTTTAAAGTGTCTAATTTCACACATTTTATTTGTTATTAAAGATGATATATCTAATATATTATCTCTTTGGTAGAAATTTCAAAAGAGCATGCATGCATGATGTATAGGATTAGAAAAATAAAAAAGTTGTTAAACATATAGACAACATATAGATGTAGTGCAAGATGTGAATACTGATTAGGTCCGTGTAGAATGATACTTTTATGTTTGACATTTATAACCAATTTAAAACCATACCTTCATTAATTGCAATATTTACATTTTGTGTATTTTTAGCTCACCTGTCACAAAGTGACAGGGTGAGCTTTTGTGATCGCTTTTCGTCCGGCGTCCGTCCGTCGTCCGTCCGTCGTCCGTCCGTCCGTCCGTCGTCCGTCCGTAAACTTTTACTTTAAATGACATCTCCTCATAAACCACTAAGCCAATTTCATCCAAACTTCACAGGAATGTTCCTTTGGTGGTCACCTTTAAAAATTGTTCAAAGAATTTAATTCCATGCAGAACTCTGGTTGCCATGGCAACCAAAAGAAAAAACTTTAAATATCTTCTTTTAAAGAACCATAAGAGCTAGAGCTTAGATATTTGGCATGAAACATCTTCTAGTGAGTGTCTACCAAGTTTGTTCAAATAAAAGCCCTGGGGTCAAAATTGGCCCCGCCCCGGGGGGTCATTGATTTTCCCTATATGCATATAGTAAAAACTTAAAAAATCTTCTTTTAAAGAACCCAAAGAGCTAGAGCTAAGATATTTAGCATGAAACATGTTCTAATAGGTGTCTACCAAGTTTGTTCAAATAAAAGCCCTGGGGTCAAAATTGGCCCCGCCCCGGGGGGTCATTGATTTTCCCTATATGCATATAGTAAAAACTTAAAAATCTTCTTTTAAAGAACCCAAAGAGCTAGAGCTAAGATATTTAGCATGAAACATGTTCTAATAGGTGTCTACCAAGTTTGTTCAAATAAAAGCCCTGGGGTCAAAATTGGCCCCGCCCCGGGGGGTCATTGATTTTCCCTATATGCATATAGTAAAAACTTAAAAATCTTCTTTTAAAGAACCCAAAGAGCTAGAGCTAAGATATTTAGCATGAAACATGTTCTAATTGGTGTCTACCAAGTTTGTTCAAATAAAAGCTCTGGGGTCAAAATTGGCCCCGCCCCGGGGGGTCATTGATTTTCCCTATATGCATATAGTAAAAACTTAAAAAATTCTCTTTTAAAGAACTCAAAGAGCTATGGCTAAGATATTGAGCATTCAACATGTTCTAATAGGTGTCTACCAAGTTTGTCCAAATAAAAGCCCTGGGGTCAAAATTGGCCCCGCCCCAGGGGGTCATTGATTTTCCCTCTATGCATATAGTAAAAACTTAAAAATCTTCTTTTAAAGAACCAAAAGAGTTAGAGCTAAGATATTTAGCATGAAACATGTTCTAATAAGTGTCTACCAAGTTTGTTCAAATAAAAGCCCTGGGGTCAAAATTGGCCCCGCCCCGGGGGTTCATTGATTTTCCCTATATGCATATAGTAAAAACTTAAAAAATCTTCTTTTAAAGAACTCAAAGAGCTATGGCTAAGATATTTAGCATCAAACATGTTCTAATTGGTGTCTACCAAGTTTGTTCAAATAAAAGCCCTGGGGTCAAAATTGGCACCGCCCCGGGGTCATTGATTTTCCTTATATGTGTATAGCAAAAACTTAAAATCTTCTTTGAAAAAACCCAAATAGCTAGAGTTTAGATATTAAGCATGAAACATCTTCTAGTAAGTGTCTACAAAGTTTGTTTAAATAAAAGCCCTGGGGTCAAAACTGGCCCGGCCCCAGGGGTGTCATTGTTTTTAACTATATGTGTATAGTAAAAAACTTTTAAAAAATCTTCTTTTAAAAAGCCCAATGAGCTAGAGCTTAGATGTTTAGCATGAAACATCTTCTTATGGGTGTCTACCAAGTTTGTGCAAATAAAAGCCCTTGGGTTAAATTGGCCCTGCAACGTTTGGGGGGGGGGGGGTTGGGGGCCTATATACAGGTGAGCGACCTCATGGCCATCATGGCCCTCTTGTTTCTTAATTTCATTTATTTCATGTTTTTGAATTTCCAAAATAATATTTCTGTTAATCGTTATGCTTTGTTTATATAAAAATAATAAGATGCATTGTTTATAATAATAATTATATTAATTGTAATAAGATGCATTGTTTATAATTGTTTTATCCATTTACTTAAACAAAGTTGCTTTATACTGTAACTCGTATTATCCTCCCCATTTTGAAGAAAAGTTGAGCTGTTATGATTGCAGCATCGTAGTTGTCCTCAATATGCAAAAACTTTAATGTTGCCCTTTATTCAAACATTTCAAAAGTTATCAACATAAAATTTCGACTTCTTACTTATCAGGTTAGTTGTTAGACAAGGGGCATAATTCTGAAAGGTATATTTTTAGAGTTATGCCCCTTCTTCAAAATTACTTATCAACAGTTGTTGCCTTTAACAGATGAGCGTTAACGCATGCAATGCTCATGTTTTTTATCTGAAATTGTTTTGTTAGATTTTTTCTTTAGTTTTGTCTGGTATGTGGAAGAATTTTAAATTTTAAATCAGATTGAATTATTTATGAACACAATAATTTTCGACTGTATTGTTTTGATTATAGCAATCTATTACTTCATATGAAAGCAATGAAAATAATTGAATTGTATGATGATAAATACAGTTACAGCATAGCAACTTGATACTAACCGTTCCATTTATTTCATTATACATTGTACATCTAGGAAAACTCAAAGGTGGTGGTGCCATTCGAAATGTTCTTGTAGAATCTGAATATCTCATTAAGGCTATCAAAACCTTATCAATGTTTAATAAGCCACCTATCTGTCTCTCAGCACATGTCATAACCCTCACTTCATAATCATCATGGTGCCAGAATAAACATCCAGTGATCTTCTTTATTTTATACCTTTTTTTCTCTCCTTGAGAAACATAAAATGTACCCTTTGTTACAGCCACAACATTGAGGATGAGTTTCACTGTATTTCTAATTAACAACAGTGATTGCAAAAACAGAGGTAGGCTTGGTCTGAAAGTAAACAATAAAGCTTTATGAAGTTCTAAGAGTGAGGTAGGAGGTATATAAGTTCTCTGATATTACAAACAAAAAGGAACATTTATTTCATTTCTTTATAACATTTCATTGTTTTATCGCAAGTTTTGTTTTGCAGGTGTTATTATTTTGTTTCATAAGAATGTTGAATTTTACACAATTATGCAGTGTTGCCTTTTATTGCATAAGATTTAGTATTTTACATGGTAAGAAGTTGGTTTGGTAAATTATAACATAATAAAGTTCATGTTTTGTTTATGATTTCAGGAGAAAAAATGCCCTGATCTTGAGGACGCAACTTACTGTCCGAGTACATGCTGTGATAGGTAAGTGTAACCATGTGACCTTCACCTTCTTAGTGACCCTTTTAGTTATATAGAATAAGCTTTACTTTGAGTATCAGAATGCTAAACAGTATGTTTGGCCCTCAGTACTTTTAATTTCACTTATATGTGTAATTACACTCATTTCTGTTTGATAAATAGTAATTTTAGCTTTATTGATCTTTATTTAATGTCAATTGCATTCGATAATGTACACTTACTTTGTTTTTGAAAATAACTTTACCATAATATAATTACCTTTACAGGGTTAATTTACTGATTAATAATGGTCTTGGTACATTGTACTTGATATTGATGATGATCTTTGCACTATCAAATCTGTCTGTGACATGATCACTGATCTCGGAAAGGATCAAAGTGTAAAGATTTACAATATCCTTCATTTATCATTAGAGCTCATCAAATACAGTATAGTTTTTAGCTTGACTATTCGATAAGAATAAGAAGAGCTATTGTAGTCACCCGAGCGTTGGCGTCCGCGTCCGCGTAACCACTTATGTTAAAGTTTTTGTAATACCTCAAATATTTTCAAAGTCCATAGACATATGGCTTTGAAACTTTGCACACTTGTTCACCATCATGACCCCAACCTGTAGACAGGGGGAAGTAACTGTATCAAGCATTTTGACAGAATTATGCCCACTTTTTGACTTAGAATTTACATTTAAGTTTTTGTAATACCTCATATATTTTCAAAGACCATTGTCATATGGCTTTGAAACTTTGCACATTTGTTCACCATCATGACCCAACCTATAGACAGGAAGAGGTAACTCTAGCATGCATTTTGACAGAATTATGCCTCTTTTTCGACTCAGAATTTTCGTTACAGTTTTTGTTATACCTCAAAAAAAGTCCAGTGACATATGGCTTTGAAACAAGATGAAATTTTATACTCTTTGAGAGCATAATAGGACTCTCTCCAAGGCCTATAACTGTAACATGTATCTAAAGAAAAAAAAATTCCCTTTTGTTAACTTAATAATATTACATTATCAAGGCTTTCTTACTATCAAGCACTAAGAATAGTCGAGCGTTGCTGTCCTACCGACAGCTCTTGTTTTTATACCGGTAGTTTGTTTAATGCATAAAATGAAAATCACTGATTTAAAAAAAAATTGGCATTAAAAGGACTGAAGTGCAAAACTACGATGTCACAATGTAAACTTGGGTATAAATGTGGGCCAGTTAAATACACATATTAATCATGCTTTACTTATTGATCTTTGATTATTAACAATGTTAAAAAGCAACTTGAACTAGAAATCAATCATGTCAAGTCACACTGTGTGGTTTTTACAACATCAAATATTGAAAATGTTGTAATATTTGCCTCTTTCTATAGGCATTTATACAAAATCGTTTCATAATATTTACCAAATTAAGTACAAATTGTTGTATTTATTTAAATGGTAAATTTTCAGTTTAAGGTTGATATTGGGTGATATTATGTTTAATTTTTTTTTGCTATTTCATCTTGTAAGGCTACTGTCCTCGGGCAGAAATTTAATTGTAACCTCTTTCTTAAATAGCATATTTTCATGCTCAATTTATAGGATCTTTCTAAAATAAAGTAGGATTTTATGTTCAGATATTTTTTTAAATGCATAATTTTACAGGGGTACACCCCTTCTTGATCTATAAAAGTCATTATTTTTTCTTTATTTTACACTCATAATATCTTGATGTAGTGAAGTCATAAAGTTAAATGTAGTCTGAGGAATAACAAAATAACTCAACAGTACTGGTATAGTCTATCTGGGATATAAAGATTTATTGGAGTGGGGGGACTTTGCTGTGGCCTGATAAAGATAAGGGGGGTATATATCGCCAATGGTCAGTTTATTATGTTAACTGTGTGAAGTGTTTTTATGATACAAACCTCATTATATCTGTATTATAATATAAAGCTGCTTATATTGCCTACTTATGACTACAATAAAACCACTTATATCTCTTGATATACTGGTAAATATCCCAGTCTGTAATGGACCACTTGATACATAATGGTAAATATATACACTCAACACTGTTTACTTTATTCCACACAACCATTACCATGAAGGAATCAGAAGGGCTTTCATTATTAACAGATTGGCGATCCATAGATCTATATCATTGGTTAAAATGCTGATAAAATCAGTTGTATTTTCAGCCTGTAGATTTAAATATCCCCCTTGACCCCTGGCCAAATTGGTTGTTTTCGTTGGCACATATGAAGCCTCTGGTGATTGTATGCTCCTCTTAACCTTCATATTTGTTAAAGATATTAAAGGCATATTATGAAATGAATAAAATTTGACTTAATTAAAAAAGGCAGACATGAATTAAATTAAATTAAGTTTAAATAATGGTTTTAGGGCATGAAAGATGCTTGTTGCCTGAACACCGTGGGTAAGCAACTTTGGTCATGTGACCACAAAAGTCAACGTACACGGCCAAAATAGCTCGGCTGAGGTAAGTTTTTTAGTGATTATTTTTCTGTCCAGCCGATTTAAATTATGCGACATAGCCTACCAACCGCGGCAGTTCCGATGCTTTCTAAAAATGTATTTAGTTTCGTCTAACGTTTTGTATTTTATGAGAACATTCAAACAATATTTGCAAATTGTCGATGACAACGTACACACTATTGTGTAAAAGTGTTGATAATAACTTAATAAACGATACGCATGTCAGTTCTAAGTAAAATTTCAGGTCTTAAAATATATAGAGAATGTTTTAATGAAAAAGTACGTGTTTCTTGCTGTCATTTTTTGTATTTATTTAAAAATTGACCAACTTACAGAAATGTCAACGTACACATACAGTCTAGAAAATGTCAACGTACACACTCCCAATTTAGTTTGATAGTGGTCTGAACATGAGGCTGCAACTTCGGAGTAGGTGGCTTTTTCTAACAAAAAGTTGGCTTTCAATTTAGATTGCCCTCTCAAACTGTATATAAGTACAGGTTTATACAAAGGAAAAAAGTTGCAAGTACATTCATATCATCACAAATAAGCTTAAACAACCTTTAACTTTTTTTATAATGTTATTTATTTGTTCTTTTGTGGTTTTCTTTTAGAAGAAAAAAATCCAGTTACTCAGACTGCTTAATGATTTGCTGAAACAGCAATTTTATACTGTATTAATTTAGATCATTTTACAGTCATTTAATAACGTAAACAGCCAGGATAAGCGTCTCTTGCTCAACCAACCTAGTGCCTTCTGTAGCAACAAAAGTTGCCAATGGTTGACAATGACGCCGAGTGACTATTTTATAGGTATTACCGGTATTTCAGCAGTTATGTCACTTTAACCCTATGATAACATCACGAACGTTCTATTAACATTATATTTTCAATAATATATCTCCTTGCACTAGTTATGTAATTGCCACATGTTATAGACATTGTTATTTAATACATGGGCTAGCTTAATAGACGTGATATGTATTTTTGCATTCACAGTTTTCTTTGCCCTTTTTGTTTCACTGCAAATTTTGCCAACCATGTCTGCTAATTTACAAGTCTATGATATGTATTCAACAAAAATGCTCAAGTGCCATACATTTTAATAATTTGCATTGCAATCAAAATTGAAATTCAAGCAAACCATTAAAAAAAAAATTATTTGAGCAAAATGTTGATAAAATTTCTGTATTGTAACAATCATTTCAATATATATTGTGGCATTTCTATGATTACTAGTGGGTCATATGACTGTGGTACTTGATATAACTTTTTAAATGTTTAAACAATGTCATTGATTCATATCTATAGCTCATACATTGCGCACAAAATTAGATAGGTAAATTCATTACTAAACCCATTTTCCGGTAAATTTATTACTACGAGTAGTAACCATTTTCTAGTAACTGGTTTCTTGAGCAGTAAAAGCATTTTACTAGAAACTTGGTACTAGAAACTAACCATTTAACAAAAGGGTATAATTTGTTGCCTTAACCAACCTATAAAATTGTGAATTGTTTATAAGTTAATTTTTACATAACAAGTGCAAGTAGATATATTCTTGAAAATATAATGTTAATATGACATTAATGATGTAATCATAGCTAGGGATCAAGTGACGCAACTGCTGAAAAACCGGTAATATAAAATTGTAACTCGGCGTCATCGTCAACCTTGGACCCTTTTGCTGCTACGGAAGGCACTAGTTGGTTGAGCAAGAGACCCTTATCCTGGCTGTTTACGTTATTAAGATGACTGTAATTACGATCTATATTGTAATACGATCTATATTAATCCAGTATAAAATATAAAAACGGCTGTTTCAGCTAATCATTAAGCAGTTTGAGTAACTGGAAATTTGTCTTCTAAAAACAAAAGTACAAATAAATAACATAAAAAAGTTAAAGGTTGTTTAAGCTTATTTGCGATGAAATGAATGCACTCCAAACTATTTTCTTTGTAAAAATAATAATAATTATATGCAGTTTGAGAGGGCAATCTAAATTGAAAGCCAACTTTTTTTTTGGAAAAAGCCACCTATTTCGAAGTTGCAGCCTCATGTTCAGACCACTATCAAACTAAATTGGGAGTGTGTACGTTGACACTTTCTAGACTGTATGTGTACGTTGACATTTCTGTAAGTTGGTCAATTTTTAAATAAATACAAAAAAATGACAGCAGGAAACCAGTTATTTTTTCATTAAAATATTCTTTTATATATTTTAAGACCTGAAATTTTACTTAGCACTGACATGCTTATCGTTTATTAAGTTATTATCAACACTTTTACACAATAGTGTGTACGTTGTCATCGACAATTTGCAAACATTGCTTTAATGATCTCATAAAATACAAAACGTTGGACGACATCAAGTACATTTTTAGAAAGCATCGGAACTGCCGCGGTCGGTAGGCTATGTAACATAATTTGCATTGGCTCGATAGAAAAGTAATCACTAAAAAACTTACCTCAACCGAGCTATTTTGGCCGTGTACGTTGACTTTTGTGGTCACGTGACCAAAGTTGCTTACCCACGGTGCTGAAGATAGTAGTGAAATAATGTGTTATGAAAGTAGCAAAATGGAAACAAATAGTATTTTGACTTCCATACAAGATACTCAATCACTATAATCACTAAAACTCTACAACTATACAGCAAAGTAAAGCCAATGAAAAAATTGGTGCAGGTATTTTACCCATGAGTAACTTTTTTGAAAACTATGAAAGTATACAAAAAATAAAAAGCTTTTGAGAAATAAAAATGAAAGCCTTTCAGTGGCATAATAGGCCTTTAAGATAATATATATATATACTTATAGTACAAAAAGGTTTCTCTGGGAAAAGTGAATGTGTCTTGAAATACCATTGTGCTAGTCTGGCATTAATTTGATTAAAGCAAGATGATGTAAATGGTTTTTGAAGAGTGGAAGACAAATCTGTTCTGTGAAGAATAGTGACATGTCTATGGAGAGCTTCCAAACGTGTCACAATAAGACTTGTCACATAAATATCAATTTATTATATCAGGTTTATCAACTTATAATTCATACAGTGCTTTGATCTTCTCACTGCTTTACATGAGGACCAATTAATATAATAAAATCAAGACCATGTCATTATGTGATGTTAGTTAACATTATTTTTCCTAATTTATAAAATGATAAGAGTTTTGCATGTTTTAAATTTACACATTCACATGTCAATACCGCCCATTTTAAATTGTTCATGTTAAAATAGTGAACATTGTTTTTGATTAAATCTTACATCATTAGTTTTTAATGACAATACTGGTATGTAAATATTAATGAACACTTCTAAGCTCAGAGTCTAGAGTATCTAAAGTATGAAATGTAATTATAATGATTTGATTGCCAGATTCATGTTCCTATGAGAGATTTAAAGTAAGAAGCATAAGAATCCCAGCAAACAGAGATGAAAGACTATCTCTGTCTTAAGATAAGTTAAAACTTAGATGCGTTAATCCCTTCATATGTGGTATCGTCTTTGGTTGGCAAGTTATACAAAAATCCCAGTATGATATTTTTCTTTTATCTTTGGACATATATACATATGAATAATTCATGGTGAGTAGTCGACAGCCATTGTCAATAAAATAAAACAAATTTCTTCACCACTAAACCCATAAAATGGCTGAGCGGCAATGCCACCAATAAAGAACCAAGTCAAATTGATGCGGTTATAACAAATTGATGAAATTTGAAATAGAAATTCCTAAAAAAACAAGCATTTTGTTCTACAATGTTTCTGCTATTAATAGATATGGTTAGGGTCTAACTAAACCAATGCTCTGTGAACGTAGGCTATCTATTTGGACTTTGTGTAAGGGGAAAAGAAGTGTTATGATTTAGATAAAGTTTCACATATTTTTCTTGTCCTGAAGAAGTAAAATAATTGTATAAGATAGATTATTGTAAGGAGAACATAGGTCAGTATATCAGCTAATTATGATCAAACTTGGCTCCTGTGTATGGTTTTAATTGCCCTATATCTGATAAATTATTCTACCTATTGTTCTCTTTTACACCTTTCTTCTTTCTCTTTCAGATTACATTCTCTAGTTCTTGCAAGAAGAATGTATAATCATTAAGTTTCTGTACATATTTACAGCATTTATCCAAATATCGTGATTGTGAGCATGGTGTCATTCATTTGAAACATATTTGTAAAGATACTGGTATTTACCCTGAGAGCATAATACTGCTGTATTTGTATACATAATTGATAAGCAATAATAAATTGTAGATAATTATAGCCAGGTGAGAGTGATTGAAGAACAGGGATTATTAGGTCAAATATACCATAAACACCTGAAAACTTTCCCTGGCTTGTTTAAAATATCAGGCTTTCTTGTGTAATAAGTAATTTAAATGGTGTTTTTTTCTTATCATGAATATATAAGGAACGATTCATGACCTTTTCTTGAAATAGTTATGACTTTTGGAATCATTTTTGCAAAAGTAATTTTAAATTAGCTTTCCCTTTTAATATTTATCTGTTGATGCACCTGTCACCTTTAAAAGACACCAGGAATCGTTCATACCTATAATGCTCAGATATATTCTAGCTGAAATACTGCCTATAGTCATAATTATTTGACTGAAAATTAAAAACAACACACACACACATGTACAACAAAACAACAAAATCCCCAGAGCTGTTACTTAAACAATGAGTCTGATATGTCATAGTAGTGACTGGCCAGTTATCAATATAAATTTGAACACAAGTTATTATTATAAACTTGATATATCTTTATATTTTCAGAAAAAATTGTTGAATTCCTGTGGACGTGAACTAAGAGACGTGCCTTATTTTCTCTCAAACAGATCTTCCAGGTTAAGCTTTTGGTCATTTTCTACAAAATAACTACTCTCTATTTAATCCCATTTAATTTTGTAATATAGATTTATAATTTCCAACTTCAGTACACCTATTTGATGGAAATTTTGATATGTGAAAGTTAATTTTCCAATTATTGTTCTCATAAACCTGTGAGTGCAAGAAAATTTAAAAGCAATTTTGTGCATTTTCTTTTTACGCAGTACGTGTAATTGTTCTAGTGTGTGCGTTAAGGTACAATTAAATTAAACCGCAGATGTTAAATTGGAAGTAAAATTAAATCAAAAGTGTCATTTATTTTCTAAAGAGTTTCTAAATTTGAAATTTTTATGCTAGAAATAAACTGAATGTAAGACGGAAATGTAAAGATTAGAGATTTTGCCAAGTAGTTATTTGAACTGAAAAGCTTACCGTATGAATTGATAAGGTTTTTACACTTACCTCAGATTTGAAACAAGATAGTATTTAATTTAAAGAGGCAATTTTCTAAAAATACATTCAGTATACTTTTCATAAAATGCATGTTTTGTTAAAGGGTGTAAAAATGAATATGTTAAACCTTTTATTTGCACTTGTAAATTTAAATACATGTTCTTCCTTAACCAGTTATCATTGCGATATAGGACTTAAGAAGTTAAAACTTAGGTTCATGTAGCTAATTATACAAGATTACAAGTTTATTGGCCAAAATATTGTCAAATTGTCAATTTTTCATAATAGATGTTACAAAAAAAAAAGAAAAAAAAAAAAAAATCAAATTTAAAGAAAACTTATTGTTCCACATTTCTCATGTGTAAAAATCTTTATATGAAGTCCCGAGTTTCTCTCAGGAACCAGTTATTTTAAGAGCACATGCTGGCAACATTAGTTGAAAAAAAAAATCAAGTATAAAAATCTCATTGGTTTAAAGATAAGAAGTTTTTTAGAGGCAGTATATCTGTTTGTATCAGCTGATGTATATCTAGGGTAGATAAACCAATTATTTAATTTCCTCCCAAGTTTACCTGTTGGTAAGCTGGTATACATGCATTTCCCAGCATGCAGTTCCAGGCACAAACCACAGGTAAACATCCAGATGATTGCTTTTAGAAAGCAAACAAATATTGAGGGTATTTAAGGGTATTTAAGTATAAAAACTGGTTTGTGTTTTAATGAATTATTTCCAGTACATAACCATAAGTTCTGTGTAATAATTTTCCCTATGAAAAGTTGAAAAATGGTATTAATTTTTAGCTCGACTTTTCTATGAAAAGGGGAGCTATCCTACTCGCCCCGGCGTCGGCGTCGGCGTCGGCGTTAGCGTTGGCGTCACACCTTGGTTAAGTTTTTCGTACCACCCCACTTTATTTCAGAAGTATTACAAGTATGGCTTTGAAACTTACCATACTTGTTCACCATCATAACCTCCATCTACAGACAAGAGTACATAACTCTGTCAAGGTTTTTGACAGAATTATGGCCCTTTTTTGACTTAGAAAGTGTATTGAGCTTGGTTAAGTTTTTTGTACCACCTCACTTTATTTCAAAACCATTGGAGGTATTGCTTTGAAACTGACCATACTTGTTTACCATCACGACCTTCATCAACAGACAAGAGGACATAACTCTGTCAAGGTTTTTGACGGAATTATGCCCCTTTTTGACTTAGAAAATACATTGAATATGGGTAAAATCCACTTATTGCCTTAACCCTTTGAGATATTGCTTTGAAACTTTTAATGCTATTTCACATCATTACCCCCATCTGTACGCAAGAGAAGGTAACTCTGTCAAGGATTTGTTTTAAAAATTAAGGCCTTTTATCGACTTAGAATCTTGGTTAAGTTTTTTGTACCACCTCACTTTATTTCAAAACCATTGGAGGTATTGCTTTGAAACTGACCATACTTGTGTACCATCACGACCTTCATCAACAGACAAGAGGACATAACTCTGTCAAGGTTTTTGACAGAATTATGCCCCTTTTTGACTTAGAAAATACATTGAATATGGGTAAAATCCACTTATTGCCTTAACCCTTTGAGATATTGCTTTGAAACTTTTAATGCTATTTCACATTATTACCCCCATCTGTACGCAAGAGAAGGTAACTCTGTCAAGGATTTGTTTTAAAAATTAAGGCCTTTTATCGACTTAGAATCTTGGTTAAGTTTTTAGTACCAGTCCACTTTTTGACTGAACTGTTTGAGATATTAATTTGAAAGTTGGAATACTTGTTTACAATCATGATTCCCAAACATGTCCAGGAGAAGGTAATTCTGTCAAAGATTTTATTTGAATTATGGCCCTTAACTGTCAATGTTTTGTATTATAGGCAAGCACTAAAAAAGTCGAGCGCGCTGTCTTACGGACAGCTCTTGTAATTTTACTGATAAGTTCATCTCTGTATGAAACTTTGTAACATGTGCACTGGTACTTCTGGCAAACTACCTGGATTATATCATTCATCTGTAACTTGTAAGGTGAAGATTTACAAAAGATATAAACAGTCATTTGCAACTATTAGTAAAATTTGTACATATAGAGATAAACTTCCTCACATATTTATGCAAATTTCAACTGTTTCAACTTGAAGGATTTCTATATGCTGGCCTTGTAATCTAAGGATTGCTAGTTACATGGGTTGAAACCCTGTCAGGGGCAACCATTGTTTCCATGAGCAAGAAACTTTACACTAATTGCTTAGTACTGGTTGGCTCCAGGAAGGGATTCAAATGCAGTTAATAGCTTCAATTAAAATCCAACTAAAATAAATTTGTATAAACTAAGAGTCTCTGTGGTTGATGCAATTGAATTGTTTCTTTAGTTTTACCCATTCTTTAGTATTTAGGGATGAATACTGTGATATCGTTAATTCAATTAATAAAAATGGTTAATTATTATTATGTTATATTTTTGATGTTTATAATGATAAAAATGTGTATAAAGTATAATTATACAGGAAATAAATACTTGACATCAACTTACTGTTTTGTATATAATGGAAAGAGCCTAACTTGATATAGGTGTACTTTTTGAGGATAAGTAAGTTTTATATATAATATGGTGTTAATTAACTTATTAGTTATCATATTTGACCATCAGTTAACTACTGTTCATACTCTTCAACTCTCCACGCTTTAATCCATTACTGATGAAACTTGCCTACATTTACTACTGTCAACAATAGATGGATGCTGTACATCATGAAATCCTAGTTACCCCGAGCAAAAATTTCTTACAAAAAAATAATTGGTTGCATTTCCCACTTTCGATTTGTTTGGCCTGGGTAATTATAATATTTTGTCTGGAAAAGTGCAGTTCATGTTATTGATTTTTAAAACCTTTCCTTCATGGGTTTTTAAAGTTTTCAAGGGTAAGAAAACAGTGAAAGGTGAATTATTTAGAAAAAAGTCTTATGAAAGTTTTCCGTAGTATTTCCTTAGTATTTGGGTTTTGGTGCAATGTTTGGTCTTCCCTCTGATCACTGAAGAAAGAAGTTTTGACATAATTAGACTGTACCAAATGAACTTTTAAAAATGTTTACTTTTTAGGTGTAAATGGAAAAATAGAATAGATACATGTATTAAAGGGAGTCAATAAACTCTCTCTATGCCTAGGAATTGGTGATCAAAAACCACAACTACTGGGAAAAGAAATTCAAATCAATATTTTGTTAAAATTTAAAGGGGGGTCCGCCCAAGTTTAAATTTTGTGGGGCCTATCTAGTTTGATTTCATATAAATACCCCTTTAAGTTAATAATGGGCTTTTTAAAAATAAAAATTGGACAATTTTCTTTTTGGGAAAATTCAGCGGGATTCGGGGTGTAAATCATGTAAATGCAAAATATAAAATGAATGTTTTTAAATTATATTTTTTTGGGTGAAAGGACCCTTGAAAACATGAATTTTGGGCCCAAAAATAAAGGGTCGGGTTCCCTTTAAACCAAAGTCGGGAGAAAGAGCCGACCAAAAACTACCAGTTCCCATCCTTAGAGGTATTTTTAATTTTGGGCAAATACTAAACCCTTTTATTTTTGCGGGGCCCTTTTGGCCCACAAATATAAAATGATCGGGATCCTTTGCTTGTTACCCTTCAAGTTTCTCAACTTTATTTTTGAATTTGGAAAGGGGAACAGCATTGGACCCTGATCAATTTGGCGCGGATGCCCCGGGCCCCTAAATCTGGATCCATTCGGGTTTGGGCAACGCTTTTACTTTGGGTTTTTGTCGGTTTGCGGTTTCAAATGATTTTGGTTTTCGTTTTACTTTTACTCGGAAACAGGTGGAAATTAAAAAGAAATACAATTCATTATAAAAAAATTTCCAAAATTTGTTAAACTGCCCTTTATTTTTAAATTTTTATAGCCCCCCTTTTTAACCCCTTTAAAAAAAATTAAAACACCTTTAAAAAGGGTATAAAGTTTATATGAAATTTTTTCAAAAAATTCTAGGGTGAAAAAATTATATTTGTACTAAAAATTTTTTTTGGTCGGGTTCAGGGAAAGATTTTGAAATACAAAAATTTTTCTCTTTTTTTAAATTTAAAACAGATATTGTATATAAACAGA